TTTCATTATAGTTGCCTATTGTTATATTTTCAAGCCAGTGTAAGTTATAGTTGCTATTGTTATATTTCAGGCCAGTGTAATTATAGTTGCTATTGTTATTTTCAGGCCAGTGTAATTATAGTTGCTATTGTTATATTCAAGCCTGTGTAATTATAGATGCTATTGTTATATTTCAGGCCAGTTGTAATTTATAGATGCCCTATTGTTATATTTCAAGCCAGTGTAATTATAGATGCTATTGTTATATTTCAGGCCAGTGTAATTATAGTTGCTATTGTTATATTTCAGGCCAGTGTAATTATAGATGCTATTGTTATATTTCAGGCCAGTGTAATTATAGTTGCTATTGTTATATTTCAGGCCAGTGTAATTATAGATGCTATTGTTATATTTCAGGCCAGTTTAATTATAGTTGCTATTGTTTATTTTCAGGGCCAGTGTAATTATTTATAGTTGCTATTGTTATATTTCAGGCCAGTGTAATTATAGATGCTATTGTTATATTTCAGGCCAGTGTAATTATAGTTGCTATTGTTATATTTCAGCCAGTGTAATTATAGATGCTATTGTTATATTTCAGGCCAGTGTAATTATAGTTGCTATTGTTATATTTCAGCCCAGTGTAATTATAGTTGCTATTGTTAATTATTTTCAGGCAAGTGTAATTATAGTTGCTATTTGTATATATTTCAGGCCAGTGTAATTATAGTTGCTATTGTTATATTTCAGGCCAGTGTAATTATAGTTGCTATTGTTATATTTCAGGCCAGTGTCATTATGGGTGCTATTATTATCTACAAACACAGTGATGAAGTTAATGGTTAGTTGTGTATTCTCTGGTACTTCGTTGCTGATCAACAATTCTGTAGAACCAGAGCTTGCTGGCCAAGTGAATGGTCTTTCTATGACAATTACAGCAATATTTAGGTAAGACAGGAAAAATTACCATATATCTTTCAATTATATTTGAACATAGTACAATATCTGTAACCCTACATCTTTTGTGTGAAGTCAGTAATACTGTTTTGCGACAGTAATCAAAGTAATTTAAATTGTGAAAGAAACACTACCCAATATTCGTACAATGAAAAGGAAACCTTTTTCTTAGTCATCAATTATTCTAAGCATATTAAAGTAATATAGTATTCGACCTAATCAATTTCGGATACTACGTAAAAGAGATATATTGAAGAGATATATTGGAACGAGTTTTGTAAAAACGAATATTTGAATATATATATTATTTGAACATGGAAAACGAATATTCGAACATCAAATTCCTTATTCGTTCCCGGCCCTAGTAATTTTATAATCACAATGACCAAATATTATATTTTTGTAGGTCTTTAGCTCCATTGGTAGGCGGTATTCTGTATTCATGGACAGTCGGTTATTCATCAGATGCTATAGGACCACCGTTTGACGTCAGTTTTGTGTTTATGTTGTTCGGCCCCGTCTACTGGATTGTAGCCATCATTGGTGTTACCATTCCCTCGAGGTTGAATAGACAAAAAAAGTGAAATGGACGTGTCTTGTCAAATGATGGACATTTTTGTCAAATGATGGGCGTGTCTTAGTGACATGATGGCGTGTCTAGTCACATGTACAGTAAGTGCAGGCAGTTGTACATTCTATTTGGGGAGATAAGGTATGTTTGAAATCAATGCAGATTGGTGCAAATTTTTTAAATACACATACAAGTGTTGTTCATTTTGATCGTCATGTATAGAAATCCATGGTGTATATATTTAAAATAATAAATTTAAGAATTTAAAGGTGAAGGATAAATCAAAGGAAATGATGATTTAGTTTTTATGGGGATGTTATTACTGATTTTAAATTAATTTTCTTAAAGATTCATTTGGGTAGAATCCTTGAAACTCATACATAAATTATTTTGACTGTCTCTGAATTGTGAAGGGCATTTATAGTTTCGTTGTTGTTGTTGTTTTTTTATTATTTAATTTTTTGTTTCCTTTTTGTAGATCTATTTTGTATGATGTATTGATAATTTTCGGTTGTAATTTTTTTATATAAAACTTATTTTAACTGCTATTACTGTTTGAAATCTATGCTTTAAAAGTATTTTGATTATCCAGCATAGGTTTTTATTGTTCAGACTGACAGTTACCGTATAATTATGTATGTTTGATTAAGCAAAACTTACCTGTAAGTTGCAGGTTGATCAGAATTTCATCATCACAAATCTCCCTTGTAGCTCACACATATTACCTCGATGCTGCCATAACACACCAGTTTGCTCTTATTTCAGAATGATTTGAGCCGCTTCGTGACAAAACCAACGTAATGGGTTTGTGACCAGCATGGATCCAGACCAGCCTGCGCATTGGTGCAGTCTGATCAGGATCCATGCTGTTCGCTATCAGTTTCTCTACTAACTGGTGCTGGGGTGGCAGTGTTTCTTTTCACAACCCTTTACAGACATTTGTTGGACATTCACAATTGGAAAAATGCCACAGTCATATTTGCAGACCTAACTAACATTGCCAAATTCAGGTTATTTATACCATTCAGTAATCACTGCGACAATTTAATTGCATGTCTATAATATTGTATATACCTTGCAAAAAGTGTAAAAGATACTTACTTAAAAAAACAAAGGAATCCCATGTAATTAGAAATTAAATCTTAAATATTATCGCGAAAGCAAAAGCAAAGGGAGGAAAGAGTTTCCCATTTATTTAAGAAACTAAACAAAATTTGAATCACAAGAAAAACTGTTACAAAATGACAACAAAAGAAGAAATTAAAAAATCAATTGTTACAACAAAAATAAACAAAATCTAATGAACATAACATAATCTTACAGTGAAAAGCACAGAATACAAAAAAAAAAAACAAACAAGCAAACAAACAAAAGATATTCAAAATTACAGGCACACTTTTAATAGTCTTCCCAATCCAACTCAGTAAACCTATCGAAATATAATTCCACAAATTTATCCAAGGTCCAATTTCTCCTTTCTTCCAACTCCAACTGAGAAGGTAGCCTAGGTTTAAGCCCCACCCAGGTGATTTGTAATATGAATTGACCACTTTCTTTCTTGCAAGTGGAGAGGTCCACAACAGAAGCAGTGGCACCTGGCATCATACTTTCTTTGAGTGGCTAGGTCACACTGCCCAAATATGGAAAAACCTTGTTAACACTCGAATGGTAACATGACAATTTCAATCAAAGTCAGCTGATTTATACCATTCAGTAATCACTTGAACAATTTGATTGGTTGACTGTAATATTGTATATACCATGCAATTGTAATAGTGTCAGTTTATAATCAATGGTTCAAGCTGAATCAAACCCACACCCCAAGGGCGCTCAACGGGACTTATAATAAAAAATGGCCGAATTTTTAATCGGACGACACGTAAAACTAAATATATTTTTAAAGGGCATTTTTCCCAAAGGGTTCTCTAAACTTTTAATTGCCAACCAGTGGCGGGTTTGGTGGTTAGGTTTGCTCCTTAAAGTTATTTTTTATCCAAAAAATAAAAACTAATTTAGACTTTATTTTTTTTAAAACCCCTCGAGATTTTTTTTAAACGAAAATTTAAATAAAATTTTATTTTCAAGAGAAAAAATTTAAGATTTTTATTTTAAACCAGAATCAAACCAAAAGACTTTTAATTTAAAAAAAATTTTCAAATTTAATTTATTATTAATTTTTGTTAAATTCTTTAAATCATTTAGTTTTAAAATAAGTAAAACTTTTAAAGTTTTAAAAAAATGTCAAAGCTTTAAAGCTTTTGGAGGGGAACTGACCTTTTTGGCCCATTTCCCAAAGAAAAAGAAATATAAAAAATTCCCCCGGGTTAAAGTATAAAATTTTTTGGTATTCCATAAAATTTAAAAAGAAATAGATTGTTTGGTTTCAAAATAACTCATAACAAGTTCTGAACAACTAAGTAATAAAGAAAGGGATGAAGAACAACACGTCAGGAACACCAGAGTGGGTTTACGTTATTATATTTATCTACCGGTTTCGGTCATATAATGGACCTTCACCAGGATAATACAAAAATATTTTGAAAATTTAGGCCCTGAAGTATATAAAATGTGTAAACTAAAAAGTCATGTGACCATACTATATTTGGTTGAGTTATGGAAGTATGCCAAGAATTTTTTGGAATTTTGCCAATAAGTTGTCAAGTATAAAATGAAAATGTTGTTATTATAAGTCCTACTTAGTTTCACGAAAAATACCATAAATGGATCCAATAGAAATTATCTGTTTATTGGTGTGACTATACTGTCCAAATTCATCTTCACACAAGGTTTCTGAGCTATTGTTCTTACTTGGATTTAATGGAGATATAGGTTCTGGTATTTGAAAGTTCATAGTTTCAATGTCCATGTGGATCTTCTGTGTTTTGTTGGTGTTCTTAGTTTTTCTGTTCTGTTTCCTGTTGATTAGTTGTGGTGTTCCTCTATTGTTAATGATTCTAAATGTTGGCATCTTTTTTAATATCCTATAATTGCTTTCAGTTGGTTTGGGTGTTGTTCTTGGTTTATAGATTTTGATATATTCGAATTTTGTTTCATTAAATCCATGTACATTTATGGAGTGTCTTTTAAGCGAATCCCGTCTTGCGTAGTGCTTATTACACCAGGAACAAATGAACTTGGTTAAGTATTCAACTTTTCTTTTTTGGTGTTGGTACCATCTGTTTTTATCAGTGTAAACGATGTTGCAAGTTTCACATAATTTGGTATACCTGGATTTTGGCCATTCTTCTTTAATTTTCGTGCATAATATATTTCTTCCGATTTTACATAAGATTTAAGCCGCTTGGAGTTCTTGTTTTTAATTTCTTTATCCCATAACTTCTTCCCGTCTTTAAATCTGATATTTTAATGTTTCTTTTCGCGTTGTTTTGTATTATCTATGACGTCGAATTCACTATGTCTGTTGATATTAAAATGGCGCGAAACGGGCTTGACGTTGTTTTTAATTCTAATATCGGCTATATGGCCGTAGAATCGAAGGAGAGAAGCCAAAATGGAAGACAAATGAATGGTTTGAATTTGACAGCTAAATATTTCATCAATCGAACCCAGAGATCATGGGTTCGAGCCCTACTCGGGTCACGACCATGTTTCTCCATATGACACCAGTACTGGTTGGTTCCAGGAAGCGGACTCGAAAGTGATTGATATAAGTTGCACGAACTTGTTTCGCAATCGAGCTTAAATTTTAAATATGTTTAAACCAATTATTATGTAGCTTAGTAATGATTGGAAAGAAGGTTAACATTACTCCAAAAGTAATCTAACTATTAAATCAAAATTACAATTACAATGTACAGGAAGAGGTAAACAACAAAAATTTATTTCAAGCAATCTAAGTTCTATTAAAGAAGATTTAATTTGTTAAGAACTGTAATCAGGAAAATTATTAACGAACAAAATAAGTCTGAGCCTGAAATGTATGATTATCAATAAATCTCTTTTATCAAACAAAATAACAAGGATTATACATCGAATCCTTTAATAAACAGTATCACATAATTATATAGAGTATAACTGAGGCAAAGAATATTATGACTGTCAATCGTCTCAATAAGCAAGTTCAACGTTTCTGTCGTACGAGTTATCTAAAATATCGTTCTGAGCCCGCACCTGTCTTTCCCGCCTGTCTCTTTCTTTTCTCTCCTCCCTTTCCTGTACCCGTGTCTCTTCTTCTTCCTCTACTTTCCCTTTTTTTCCCTCAGCATGTCCCCTGGGTCCTCCTCCCGACCCTTCCCCCGGGCGTTCTTGCAGGGCAGGGTAAACAAACTTCCCGCATTTTCCCGGGTCTCATACAAGGGTTTACCCCCCCCTTTTTCTAGACAAAAATTTAGATTTCCCCCTGAGGAATTGTGTCTCTTAAACAAACCCTATTTTCCCTTTGTGAAAACCTTTTTACATGTTTAAAACAGACAAAGGGCAAATCCTCATGAACGACATGCCTGTTTGGCCAATTTTTTTTTTTAAAGGGGAAAGGGATCTGTCCCACAGCTTGGCAATGGACAGCAGCCCCCTGGCGTGGGCCCTACAGGTCTAAACACCCCAAACTAGATCCCGTTAAAAATAAGTAAAATTGGGGTTTTAAACTGAAAAATTGAAAAAAAAAAATATATAAACAATATATTATAGTACATAAATAATAACCATAAATCAATACTTCAAGAAATTATTCTTAATCATAGGAAAATATTCTTATTTGAATTAACACTAAGCATTGAACCCTAATAATTTACATTTGCTAACATTAACTCTTACATATGAAACAGTTCTTTAAGAACAAGTATCTTAAAATTACTGTTTAAACACACAAACAATCCTGTGTTCATATTTCTTTTAATTTTAATAAAGTTTACTAGTAATATTTACATTCTATATAGTTCAAGAAGATTTATTCATAAGTAGTTCGGAGGAAGGTAGTCTAGTACTGGTGTAACTCTCCAGGAACGATGGTTAGGAAACTATCCGCCTATATGACTGAAATACTGTTGGAAAAAGGCGTAAAATGAAACAAACATAAGTAGTTGATTTCTTTCCATGCCACAATCAGAAGTGAGAGTTGTTTCCACAAAAACATTAAACCATTAAACACTGCTATGTTTGTGACCATTACAGTTACTGACTTTACTCAGGTCGTATGAACATAAGACAGTGGCGACGCAAGCAAAAGTGTGTGGAACTGATACAATCAAGTAAAAATCTATTCTATCAAGAGTGGCCAGTTC